CGCGACCGGCTCGATCAGGTAGATGATCGATAAGAACTCGCTCAGACTTGTTTGGAATTTCCGCCGGAACAAAATTTTTTTCGATCGATATCATTCCACTCGTACGAATACCACTTGCTCGCATTCCATCTGACTCATTGTCTACAGTTCTCGTAGCAACAATAACGTTCTTCTCAGATTAAAAAGCTGATTTTTATTAAATCCCCATTAGGATGTGCACACACACGGGGTTCGGTTGGTGGTAAAGTTGAATGGCAAATTGTAACATTCACTCACGTGTGCAAAACACTCGGGTATTATTAAAGCTTCATCGAGCTGTGTGACTTGAATGAATCGGTAGTTGGGTCATAAACAACAAGAGTCGGAAAAGAGTTCCAGGTGTCACAAGCTATGAGGCTGAAAAAGTGACACCTTCGGTCTAGCCGACTCGTTTTGAGTAAACGTTGAAACGAATGTTTTCTGAGGTGACCGTTCCTGGATAGCGTTAGAAGAGTACTACACAGGTGGTCAGATGGATGTAGTATTTGATAAACGTGGTCCATGTCTCCCCGTATTCCATGGTATTCAGACGAATAGAGTCCGAGAATTCGCAGCCTTTCATCGGAGGTTTTAGATTGTTACCCCGTGAACATTTTGGTTGCTGTTCTCAGCGGACTTTTGAGTGCATTTCGGTGGGGAATTAGTAATGGATTCGAAGCTTATATAGCATACTCGGTGTATGTTTTATTGTATGCTGATAGCAACCGGGGGAATGATCTAAAAAAAACGTTTAAGTAACCGAACCTGCTTTATGGCTTCTGATGACGGTCTAAAGCAATGTGTAGACAATCGCGTGGCAAATGCGTGCCGTGGCTTGGCGAGTTCCGTGAGCTCTGTCCTAACTGACTAGTGTTTCTAAAAGTTTGTTTCAACTCTTCCTGTTGACTGACAAATACAAGATGGACTAAGTGATGTTTCGTTATTTGAGGAGTTATACTTGACTTGTGAAACACATGTAATCCACTCGGCGGAGTTGATCTACAGGTACTTGAAGTGAGTCAATCAAACAGAACTTCTCTGTTTATCTAATGAAAAATATCAGTCTGCTCGGATTATCCACATGTGCCAGCCCAAGGGGTTTGTTCTTCTCTAGTGGAACTAATAACCAGAATCCTGCAATGAATTAGGCACACCTTAAGTGCATTAATGTCGCCTGAAACACGGATCAATTTGAAATGAACATGGCGACAACCACAGCTCAGTAAATGAACTTAAAATGAACCATAGGAGGCCGTCGATCGTTGTGTCTGTCTCAACGATCTAGCCAACCTAGAAGGACTAGCAAAAGGAAGAAAAGGTGTGCAACTAACGGAAATTAGCCAACAGTATGAATGATTCCCCATTTTGCAATGCGGTTAACAGTGAGCTTTGTTCGCTCCGACACTGGCCTGACTGAAGTTTGACGACCCAATGATCTGTTCAGTTGAACTGTTTTACTGTCTCGTGCGGCCAAGTCCGCGGCACTTTCGACTCAAGATGAACTACTGGTCCGTGACATATATCCAGCGATTGAAGCAAATGTCAGCAGAAGCCATAGATACATGGTAGTGTGGTAGGATTTGATAAGATGTTATGGTGAATATTTCATCGTCTACAAAGCGCGTGAAGCACTGAGTGAAACGCTGGGAAGCCTCGGACAGAGATGTTTCGACCTGGTTGGGTTTGCGCAACCGCGTGAATCCATTGGTCGGTAAAATCTTTTTTCATTTTACAAATACCTTCAATACCTTCAAATGCCTTCTCAGGACTCCCAAAACAAGAGAGATCGATAACCGACCGTGCATACTCCATACTTGGCTGTGTTTCGCCAGGGTAGCCGAAGCAACTCAAAACGTTATTGCTGTACGATGTTTCTCGGCTTTTCGGTTCGCGCTTTGTTTGATCCATCGATAACAAAATTCACAAGAGGGATTGAAGTCACCCTGAAGCGAATATAGTATTGAACAATGTGAACGGATGGCTTTTATTCGATTGTCTTCTGTTCCCGGAGCTCATTCGGTCCTATCAAGAGTTTCTGTTCCCATTAAGAGCAAATTATAAGCTAATCGTTATTTCGTTTATTCGAACATGGAAGGCTACTTACAATTTTATGGTTAGATGAACCGAACTGTTGTTACCGAGTAAGCCTTTAGTTTGCGGTGGCCAGTTTTTTCTACCAAATAAGTGAACAATACAGACCATATCATTTTGTGGCATCCCATCTTAAAGGCTCTTTCCAGCTTGCAACAAGATGCTTCCCGTTTGAGATGGTCACGTGACAAAAATCCAACTCCTCTAGGAATGTGGCTGGACATTTTAAATCTGATTCATTAGTACAAGTGACTGAACACAGATCATTGTGAGTCATAACAAATGGTTCAAATGGTTTGTTTAAAAATAAATTGGATTTGATAAGAAAAGTAAATTTGGAATAGTAAATTCGATTGCTCACAAGCACCAGGCACGGTTGATGGTCTTGGGTGTTAATTTTTCTCATTAGGAGATAGTTGGGGGTATGAAGTTCCGACCTGAATAGTTTGCACTTCCAGTCCTGACAGGACGAAACAGCTGTCCAGTACTGTTTGTCTGTTATCACAAATCTTTTCGTTGATTACAAACGAAATAAACTAATCGTGCCTATAGGTAGCGCGAAGAACGGAAATCTGCAGTGAAAGCAAACAGAGAGCTTAATATACAGAGTTCTGAGCCTGTTCCGATGCTCCGGTGTCACCAGCAGTGGACATGTATAATGATGCTGCTATGTCCGATTGGGTACCAAAAGATAGGAATTCAACATCTGTGGTCAACATTAACCCAACCGTTGGAGCGATTCCGACGTTCGCCAAAACACTCCATCAACAAAATCAAATGCTGAAGCGGATTCTTGATTAATGATCCCAGAATAGTTCCATTTATCTGGAAGATGTTACATAGTAAAAACAATCAATCAATAAATTAATCAATCAGTCAATCACTGTCTTTGCTCATCATCATTGTTGCATAGTTGCAATTCCTGGAAGAATTTCTATTTTAGTTTAGCATCGAAACACGTATACGTCACTTGTCATACATACCAGTGAGGACCAGGACATCGACAAAAAAAAACAGTGTGGATTGAAAAAATAAACGCCAAGTGCATAATTGAGATGTGAACCATCATACGCTGTCAATATGCAACACAAATCACCTGTGATCGATTCCTCCAGCCGTCACTTAGTTAGAGTTCGATTCGAGTCGTCATGGTGCTTCACAAATGTTTCGCCCACTTTTCACTGGGATCTGCTTTTGTGTGACATGCGGTTGCCGCATTACAAGCCGCCCGGTTAACTTGATACCGGGAGTTAGAAGATCACTCCGTCTGATCTTTCGTTTGTTCTCCGGCTCTCGTCAGGATCGGCAAGGAATTTCTCCGTGGATTTCATTAATTTTGTGGTTTTTTTTTCTGTATTTGAAATATTCAGTCGAAAGCCGTTTTACTTCGTGTTTTAGGAACAACTGACGGCTTCCAACGTGTGTGCCATGCTTGATCGCAGTTTGTTCTTCGACGAGGAAGATCTCACTCGGCGCTGTTGGCACGTGATTGACGTGTTGGTAAGTGCTTTCCCTATCGGCCCGTTCTTACCTCGTCAGACTGGAATACATTTAAACCCCTGGAAATGAAACCTCCATCTCACTCTCTCTCTATGCATCTTTCTGATCAGCACTTTCGATGTGGGACGCGTTATACGGATGCGGTACAGATGTTGATTGATTCGTTGTCTGGTAGTAGTACGCTTACCTTAAAATCTTTCGCTACGCACGAGCAATGTGCGAGAAATGCCCTCAACCATGGCGATGGCACATCTACGCATTATTCTTGCAACTGTAGTCTTTATAAATTCGCGCTTTTCTCTTTGACACTGATCGGAACATTCCTATCTTTGCTCGTACTCCTTTATTCAGTTGGGCAGTCGTGAGATAACGACTAAAACCGATACACGAAGATGCATGGTTGTAAACACTGAAGCTGAACTGCATGAGAATTCCAGTCGCATGACAGGGTCTTCGATAACCAGTAAATGGATTTATGGGTGTATGATCGGTGTAATCGATTGATGGAATAATGTAGAGGACTCACTTAAATTTTAATTTAAATTCAAAAATCCATACTTTAAATGAGGCAATTGGTTATAGGAAAAACTGGTACCGGTGATCATATCGTGAGATTGAAATGAAATTGAAAACGCATAAACAAGGCGTGGCTAATCTGTTAATATCATGTCAACGTGTCTGTGTGTCTGTCCATTCGTCGTGACCATGCTTCAAACTTCCGGTGCGGGGTAAGGTTCAGACAGAGGTAAGATCGACTGGTTGCTCGTAGTTGATACGTTCGTTCGCGGTTGATACAGGTTTGAACGAGGGTATGCCACATTCCTTCCGTAATCCGTTACAATGCATGATGCTCGGCCAGCATGACATTTGGTTGGCCATTTATAAACCGGTAAAATATGACCCAGCTGAAAGACTCATATAGTCATTTCTTTTCAATGATGCCTGAGCACGCATCATCGATTTGTTGATAAGCGTATCACACACACACACACACCTTGTGCATGATCTAATCAATAATTATACTTGTTTCGCATTGTATTATCGATCGGGGCTTTTTACCAATGGGGTTGTTGTTCTACTGCTTGTGGTTAACATGCTTAGCATGGTTCAGACTTGAATTCATAAATGATGAACCAGTTGATTGGATGCACATAACCGATTGTAATTTGTCTTGCACTCAAACTGCGGAGAGATGATCATTTTGTGTTCACATACAGTTGAGATGAAACATCGAAATAACCGTCTCCTGCATTTTATCACTAGGTCTGTGTGGTGTATGTCCTCCCTCCTCGGTGCTTCATTAATTCGTTCAATAATAGTATATGTATATATATATATATATATATATATATATATTCACACGCGTTGGAATACCGAATATATGTACCAAACAAATCATGTACAATAATCTTTATAGAAAAGAGAGGCGTTCCATGATTTACATGTGGGCGGATTACTGCAAGGGTTTCCCAGGCCAAGGAATCCACAACAGGAGCCTTTGACTAGTCAAAGCATGACCCGTAAGGCAGCGGGGCAATGTGCGAAAACCGCAATCCATTGGGGGCCGCTGCTTAGTTCATCGGATCGTACGCCCTTTGAACGGGGTCAAACGTCCAAGGTGCCCAATACAGTTAGGTGCCCAGTCGAGCCGTTGATCACCGCCACAACCAGGAACTTGTGTGTGTGTGTGGTTCGTACGTCTCCTTTTGGTTGGTTGATTGGAATCAGGATTTTTAGCCAATTCCCCTAGGTGAACTACCAATTGTTCACCAACCTGATTAGAGCCCCAGATGTCAGCCTTTTGTCCTCTCACTTTGGTGGGGGAAAACACCTCCACCTCACGAGAAGGTAGTGAGTATCGGATAGTTTTTATACAGATAGTTTTTATTCATATTCTCTTAGTAAATTCACAGTCAATCGGCTTTCAAAAACTTGGTTTTCCTCGGTGGGTTGTGATTTCTGCACAGCCCGTTGATTTCGCTCATATTGACTGCATTGCATTAGGGTAGGAAACTGACGTGAACTCATCATCCCCTCTCCTTATCTCTCATCCCCGACCCTGCCACACTGTGAACAGGCTTCGAGTGTGCTCAGCTCAAATGGTCTGTTGCATATGGACGCGAACAATTTGAAAGCGCTGCTCAAACGGGACACATTGAATTGCAAAGAGTCAGAAGTGTTTGCAGCCGTTCGGAACTGGGCCGCGGCAGAATGTGCCCGTCTAGGTCTGCGGGATGTGATTTACAATCGAGCCCAGATTGCGGCTGAGCTGCTGCATTTAGTTCGTTTTCCCACAATGACGTTGAACGATTTCGCGGAGAATGTAGCCTATTCCGGATTTCTGTCGTTGGAAATGGTATGTTCCTGCACACAAGTTTTCACAGCGGGCCGACCTCGCATTGTTATCTCGGGAACGCTCCTAGCCAATCTCATACTGGGTACTATAAACTGCTCTGCCTCACCTAGTTTATGAAACAATACGAGGTTAAAGTAAAAACCAGAAATTGATTTTAAAAAATTGTCGAAAGTTAAACACGAGAAAAATCTACATTATCCATTTACACTTTTATGGAAGTTCAAATTTACAAAACCATACATAATGAAACTGAAAGCAGTAGACTGTGATTTTGTCAATAAAGGAAGTAATTGCACAATTATGGGGAAATTTTCTCCTTCTCGATAAGTAGACGTGCTTGATATGGCAAAACAGAATTACGATAAGAAGAGGTATGCGCAAATGAAAGTGTAAATCTTCACTGTGTGGATGATGTAGTTACAGCTTTTGAAAATTCGTTGTGTAATGGGTGGTAAGTGTCTGAGAGTATTTTGGCAGTGAAACTTTCACATGCTTGCACGTGTCTGTCTATGATAGAACCAGCGAGTTTATCCCTGACAATGCCACTACATTTAGAGATGTGTTTGAGAGATCTCGCCAGTGAATAAAAGTTTTTCTTCAACCTACCGGGAAAAATCACTGGGGAGCAATACAACCAGTGGGGGAGTACACATGTATTCACAAACCTAACAATCAGCTTGTGGATGACAGAAAGTAATGTCAATCGGATTGAGAAACATGAAAGCTTTCTAACTTTACAGTGTATTTTGAACGTGCAGTGGCTATGACAAATTTCGTGATAACTGGACCATTGTTGATTTCGGTACGGGTTCATGATTGTCAGAGAGGGTGGAGAACCTATTTGCTAGGGCTGAGTATGGTACATCGGCCAAGAGGGAAAATACAACAACATCTTGACTATTCGAGGCATTCAATGAGAAGGAACGGGAATTTCTGAAGCCTCTTCACGGGCAGATGCTTTGCAACCTTAAGCAACGTCATGTGCCTATTCACAGTCAACAAACTCAGAAGGAATGGGAAATAGTTTGACAGACATTGAATAGAGAAATAGGAAGAAGGCGCATAAAATTCCTCGTTTACCGATTCCAATAGATCACGGTAAAAGCAAATACCATTTTTTCCAAGTTAATCAATATTCATATGTCTTTTCTACCACAAACGGATGCATATGGAAGAAAACTTAAATTAAGGTGCGAAAATTCTCCTTGTACATCGTCATATGTCACCTGATTTTGACCTCAGATTGGTTTATCCTACAGCTCAAAATGATGTCATTGGCACCTTTCTGTGTGTGCCAGCCTAAACAGCATGCGAGGAGCATGTTTCGGGGGAGCTCCAGTGGTTGGGATCAATTCTCTAAGACAAGTGATTTTGCGTCTATTATTATTATTATTATTATTATTATTATTATTATTATTATTATCGTATTCGAAATGTGCCACCGGATAACAAAAAAGGAAGAGCCCCGATGGTTGCCCCTCAGATGCGCACAGTGACGTGTGGGTCATCAAACATTATTCCCATAGTCACCAGGGCCATTCCAACTTGAGCTTATTTCAGGTGATTACTAATCTTAGCGTTTGATCAAATGGGTAAAAGGTAACCGTGTGGAATGTAGTTGCTTTCCTGTTGGAATGACTGTTCTCGGTCCCAGTGAGAATAAACCGTGATGTATTGCGTCATGTCTATGCAGTGTCATGCTTTCCTATGGCAGTGCCGACACGAGGTTTGTTTATTACGAACAACGCGGTTAGTGTATCGATCAGCTGGCTTGCATACAACAAAATGTCGCACTTGGAACAGTCTTCAGTCTTTAGGATTGAGGGCAGAGGGCGGGGTGCCCGTGTAAGCCTCATCACCACTGGGTCGAATGTCCGATCACAAGTCTTCTTTCCTCCATACCCCCTTCAGGTGCTCATTCAGACGCCGTTTGAAAGCAGCGTCTGTCTTCTCTTCCCTCACAATCACTGGAAGGGAATTCCAGAGTGTTGTTGACCTACGCGAGAGTCGGTAGTCTAACGGAAAACCAACTGACTAAAGTTGCCGCAACGTGAGAGAGTGCCTCCGCGTTATTTCCTGTGTCCATAAAGGGAAGTACTGTTGCAGCTCCGGGCCAGTATTACCTTTCAGGATATTCCTCAGGCAGATGAGATCTCCCCTGAGGCGTCGACACGCAGTTGGGAATAGACAAGTAGCCTGTAGACGACCTTCATAGCTGGTCCCGCGTAGTCCGACAGATCATAATAATTCCCACAATCACGTAAAGTAATTAATGCAACGGTGGCAGTCATCCCAGTTTCTGTGGTTGCAATTTAGAACACAGTAATTCGCTCCGGGAGATCTTGTTCATTGTTGACCGTCGCGAGAAACCGCCACTCAATCTCATTCCTTTGCGTAATCCAACTATACTACTCACAAATATGAGTAGTGCTTCACAACACTGGTTGTTGGGCCGATGAACTCACAGTGTTGATTATGATGTCCATCATGATTGAACTGGTCTTATGATTCAGTGCATTTTATTTCAAGCGTCGGGGGCTATATTTTCTATTTCCGTTAATTGGGCGACATCAGTACTGGTGCGGATTCGGTGAAATTATTGAGCGAAACAACTCGCCACAGTGAATTTTGTTTAATTAATTTGGGAGTTTTCATTTCGTCTCTCGAGTTTTCATCTTGCCCATTCATTGTTTCCACATGTAGTACATCTTCAGCGGGTTTACATTCGAATCACGAGTGTTGTTGGGAAGTTGCACGGAATTCAATAACGGTAAGGTGCTGGTCACTGATAACAAAACTGAAATAATTTACATTTAACTCAGTTAGTTACTTGTGAATAGTTGTGTGGGATAATTGATATTGATTGTTTTATTGATTTGAACTGATTATTCTTCGGGCTTCACTTTTTCACACAGTCCTCGGTTCATTGATTTAAATATGCACTCGGAAAAACCATAGATATGAGTATCACTCTTATGAGAGCTCATCAGTAGGCATATCCACCGTCCCACAGTCCGGGATTAGAACTCCGGACCGATCGCATGGAAGACGTGTGCGTTACCACTGCGCCAACCAGTTCATACCACCAGGGCTGAACCAAATTGCCAATCCATGTTTATTCAGGTGTCGTCTTCAGTGAGTTGAATGTAAATTATCAATCCAGCCTTGAAGATTCGTTGACAAATCAGTCCGTAACCGGCAAGGAAACTAAAAATGGAATAAATAATAAATTAACTAAAAGTAGATAATGCTACGCTTATAATCTTCTGTAATACATCGCCACAGTTTGACATTTTTGAATCACTGATCAAATTAAGGTGACCCCCGCAGCATGTTGTTAAAGTTATTGTCAAGTTGTAACAGACCAATGTTGCCGTTCGCATTCCAACCGGAAAGTGCTATTCCCTCCCATAAACCGCACAATTTGGTCATTGGAAATAGGTTACGGGTGCACAGGATATATTTCGATTCCTTTTCTTTTTATTTTAGAGGTTGGAGATTTGATGGATTACTGTGTCCCTTTTTCACATCCTGACACATCCACCGCGTTTTCCATTCCGGACAGGTTCGTGATTTGTTTGTCCACATCACGGCAAACAATTCCGCTCAGAGCGCCAAAAATGCCCGGGTCGGTAAAACGCGTTCGAAACCGAACAACTCCCCGAACGCGCACACACAATTAGGGGGCAAGCCCGACGTTACTGGTGGCGGCACTGTTCACGGCGAACCGACCCCTTTCATCGGTCCGTTTCCATCCGAACCCCGACGGGGTCCACAACTGTGGCGATGTGCACGATTCACGCGGACCGGGAAGCATTTGATCACGCCAAATGCTGGCAACACACACCAGCACAGTATAGTGTTTCAGGTAATCGAATGTCACTCTGTGCACTAACGTTCAGTGCACAATTGTGCCGCAGTTTTACTCAGAAATTTTATTTTTAACGTGAGGCACATAACTCTTCTCTCCGTCCGCCTCCCCCCCCCGCAGCTAGGTCTTTTGGCTAATTTAAAAAAAACCAGTCGTGAGATGTTTGGTGCAGAGACGTCTGTTTGCACGAGACAGCTGTGTGTTTATTTGTATTTGGAACACGTTTCGCCCAATTGTGCACATGGAATCAATCCCCTATCCCAATAACCCTATCGATTCACTTAGATTCCTATGTGCACTGTTCTCATTCTGTTGAGATACCGGTTCTATGTACACTGATGGTCCTTCTGTGGACCCAACATTTCTATCTCCCTCGATCTGAAAACGGCTTTCGATTCAGCCGATCATACTATATAAACACTCAGGTACTGTCTTTCGCTGCGGACCGTGTGTATCCTAAGCAGTTCATTTCAACAGTACAACCCCTTTATCAGTTCAGTTCAGTTAGTACAACCATTAACCATGCACTATCTTGCGTCGGTTTTGGCTGCTGTTCATTATGGCTACCAATTTGGATGAAGAATAGGAGAAAGACAGGAAAGATTGAAATTAGAAACAAAGAGAAAATTTCAGAATTTCAGTGGACTAATCTTGCAGACAAATTGAGAAAATGCATGAACGCCACTATTTACGACACTCAGCCATATCACTCAGTGTCTCAGACCGTCGGTTACGATCGTCTCGAGATACCCATCCAGGAAGCCTAACGGGACCTATGTGAAACAGACTCCTGGTTCGGGTTTTCATACCCATCGTGCCGGGTCTTAGTTTGACCACCCTCCACCCGCTATCTGCCTCGGCGAATATCGCTCGCCTTGACATGCGTAACACATGCCCCGACCAACGTAATCTATGGAGGTCGACGATTGACTCCAGTGGACGACCACATTTACCTATAACTCTGCACCTAACCTCAGCATTGCTCATCCGGCTGCCCCATCAGATTTATGCAATGCTAGGTAGACAGTGGAGTTCAAACACCGACAGCCTATCTTTGTCCTGTTTCCTTAATGGCCAAGTTTCTGCGCCGTATAGCAGAACTGGTTTAACTGCCGCAACATACACTGGACCCTTCACAGACAGCCGGATATCGCGATTGCGCCACAGATGTCTAAAGTTGGCAAATGCCAATCGAGCCTTGTGTATGCGAGCTGATACTTCATCCGTGATACGTCCCCTGGGTGAGATGTGGCTGTCTAAATAACAAAACTTATCCACCCCTTTATACCAACAGCCAAGTCCAGGCCTGAGCTTGCGACACTTTATCGCCCGAGTTCACTACAGAAAGTTGTGCACGTCATGGTTGACCTCCATATCTCTCCGTTTCTATTTAACTTTTTCAAAGATGTATTGCTTGAAACAGCTCTATCCTCGTCCACGGAAAGTGTCATCTATTTGCTCTTAGATTGTAGACTCTCTGATCTGGAGTTTGCAGACGACATTGTACTGCTAAGCAAAGATCCAGTTGCAGGCTTTTCTGTTTAGTTTAAATGCTAGTGTAACTATGCGGGCAGCTATCTCCTTGGATGCGTTACCATCTTTGGCCACTCAGCTACCGAAGTACGAAAAGAGGTCAACTTCACCTAATTCCCGACAATCTGGTTTCAGAACTGGACTCGGCGAAACCCCGTCTTGCAGAATTAATTTGGGTCATCGGTCTTTAGATCTAGGAAGACTGGAATTGAAACTGTTTCCCGCTGAGAGCGCAAGCGGTGTGTAACATTTATTCGATGAATAGTGTAAGAGGCCCAATTATGTCAGCGTGGTCAAATGGGACCCGGTGGAAAATGGCTACTCCCGAGTGAAATTTGACAACTGTACAGTCGAATAGATAATTTATTACTTTGAAAGAGAAGTAAGTGAGTTGAACACACTATCTCCGAGGGCTTGAGCAGTACAATAATCGTGATGAGTATACAGTGAAGTTCGTTGTGCATAGAGGGTTGTGTTTGTCAAGCGGTAAACGCAACCAGATTACCATCCCGGCCCACGTATGTACAAATCCCACCACCACCAACACCACCATCACCACCACCGCGGTTGGCTTTCCTGATTCTACATGGCACCCCTGAGATTTATCGCTTCCACTTTCCTTAAAATGGGCGTTATGTTCATTTAGAAAAAAAGTGAAATACACACCGGGGTGATCACGGACGCCCTGGCCCCAGGTGGAGACTGACCCTTGCACGCTGGAGCGATTAAAGCCTGCGACGATCCCTAATCGGGCTCGCTCGGGTGCGTAATTTTTGCCAGTGGAAAAGTCTTCGGACCATCCCTTTCTTCTTCAAACGGCATTAGCCAAGTGGTTAGGTCACCAACTTGTAACCTGGGAGTCCCGGGTTTGAACCACTCCATTGCCGCCCCTTTTCCGAGGCAAACTTTGTATGGCCGCGGCCCTCCTTCCTGAATGTTGGCTATACATTTGTATATTCAATAAATAAAAAAGGAAGTAAAAGACCTTTTTATTATTTTTTTTAGATGAAGCGAGAACTGAAAAGCTTGGAAACATGGAATATTTCTTTTGGTTTGGTTGGGTTTGATCAGTACCAAAGAGTCGGATTTTGAATGTTTCCTACAGAGGCGACTGATGAGATATGCCAGTTGTGATGTGCCGGCAACTAGTTTGCCTAGAAGGGTTGTGCTGTATCGTGTAAANCAGGACAAATGCCTGATGTTATTATGCTTGCGTTCCATCTGTGAGGTCCCGGGTTCGATCCCCAGTTGGGTCGATGAATTCACATGGGACTATGAGACCTGAAACAGCTGCCCGGTGCTTCGTAGGCTTTCAGTTCTCTGTACAGGATCAAATGTACCATAACAAATCCCATATTCTATAACTATTATCTAATCATGATAATTTTTTATTTGACTTAATTACCTGATTGATTAGGATCAAATTTATTTGTGGTTGACTAGCCTTAGCGGGAATCACAAGCTTCGGACAGTGATAGCAACTTCTGACTGACTTGTTCACACGCAAAATATCTGCTCAACTGGTGACTGGGTTGGAGTGCGTCAGTGGATCAAAATAATTTAAATCGACTGAA